CAGTCCAACCCCCTGCCGTGCAAGAAGGCACAATTAAAGCACTCCTGATAGAGAGCCTCTGGGAAAAAGTCTCCAGAGAAGGAGACTCCACCACACTCTGAAGCAGCCTATGCCATTCTCTGACATCTCTTACTCTCAGAAAGTTCTTCCTAATCTGTTCAGTTGAAGCTTTTCCCCTGCCATTTGAAACCATTGCTCCCTTATGCCTTGGTCTCTAGAGCAGCACAAAGTCAGTCCCCCCCCCCCCACCTCAATGGGACACCCTTTTAAATCTTGAAACATGGTTCTCATATTCCCTCTCCACCTTCTCTTCTCCCAGCTAAATATCCCTCAGGAGGAAAGGAGGAAGGAAAAAGAGAAGGGAGGGAGGGAGGAATGAAGAGACAGATGGAAGGAAGGGAATGGAGAGAGGGATGGAGAAAAAAGTGAAGGAAGGATGAAAGGTTAGAAGGGAAGGAAGGAAGGAAGAAGGGAGAGATGGAAGGAAGAAGGAAGGAAAGAGAGAAGGAAGGATTGGATGATGAGAGAGAGGAGGGCCTGAGGAAAGAGCTCAAGGGGCCGCATCTGGCCCCCAGGCCTGGGTTTGCCCATACCTGGTGGTCTAGATCCAGAGAAGTCATGCAACCCCTCTATTCTGCCTTGGTCGACCACACCTGGAATACTGTGTCCAATTCTGGGCACCGCAATTGAAGGGACATGTTGACAAGCTGGAATGTGTCCAGAGGATGGCAACTAAAATAATCAAGGGTCTGGAGAACAAACCGTATGAGGAGTGGATTAAAGAGCTTGGGCATGTTTGGCCTGCAGAGAAGAGAAGGCTAAGAGGAGACATGATGAGAGCCATGTATAAATATGTGAGGGAAAGTTATAGGGAGGAGAGAGCAAGCTTGTTTTCTGCTTCCCTGGAGACTAAGACGTGGAACAATGGCTTCAAACTACAGGAAAGGAAATTCCACCTGAACATCAGGAAGAACTTCCTAACTGTGAGAGCAGTGGAAATCTCTGCCCTGGAGTTTGGTGGAGGCTCCTTCTTGGAGGTTTTTAAACAGAGGCTGGGTGGTCTCTGTTGGAGGTACTTTGAATGCGATTTTCCCGCCTCTTGTCAGGGGATTGGACTGGATGGCCCATAAGGTCTCTTCCAACTATGTGATTCTATGTATACTGTCTATTCTAAATTGGAATTCTCTAATTGTTCAATTTATAGCTACAACGTAAGCTCACAGAGTTAATTTACAGGGAATTACTATGATCTAGTTCTTATTTGCCTTTACAATAGTTCCCCATCTCAATTATGCCCTTCCATTATGTTCATACCTGGCACAAAGGTATGGAGAAAATAGAGCACAGGATAGAAAGCTATCTAAAAAGTAGGGCATTCAAGTAATTTTACTATTGCAGAGATATTAGAAGAATCATGTTTACTGTTTTAATTTTGGGAGCGTTCTTTGGAACCAAAGGAACATTTATATATCAACAAATAGAACTGTGAAATTCAGACCAAGGTACTATAGTATTCAATGGCTTATCTTAAAGTAGGCATTTTATATGCCCATCTACTCTAATATGATTCAGTTCTTAACAGAGGTTGAGAAACTGTTCAACATATGTATACCAAGCTCCATATAAGAGTTTATTTATTTGGAAGCTCTGCCTTGAAGCTGTATGTCGGCAATGGATTTCAGTGCTCCAGGGAGCTGCTACCCGTATACGAGGAAGGAGCACTAAATCCAGAGTGCTGAGTTACTAGCCTATACTTTCCAACTTCAGCTTTCAAGGGGGATGCTAGTTTAACACAACAAAATTGACTGATTTGTGAACACAGGCCTGTTACACACAACAGTATTTCTTTTCAGTACATGATACCGTTTAAAGAAATCCACAGTTAAAGATCAATTAAATATCTTGTCAACCTTTCAACATATTTTCAAGGTAACAAGAATAGCTTTGCATAACTACTAGGACAGTTTATAGGAGAAAAGAACAAAACTTTTAATTCACAGTAGGCTTGGGCCCAGATTGGTTTGACCAAAAGTGCTTGGTTTATTCGGTAATCCGTTTCATGTAATCCACCAAAAACAGAACAAGAAGGAGGGGACCAAAAGTTGGGCAAAATGAATAAAGAGAGATGGATTTATCAGCTATTGGAGAGGATGGAGTTAAGTCAGCATTATATCTGAGGCAGGAGTCTGCCGCGGGACTCCTAGAGTGTCTTTTCTCTCTCCCTGGCACTGGAAAAGTTCCCTAGGCTCCTCCTCTAGAGAGGGCCCTGCTGGGAACTCGCTTTTCCAGCAGCACTTGTATGGGGCGGACATTACAAATTCTTCTCGGAGCATGATAGGAGTTGAAGTTTTTCTCTCTTTGTGTTTCTCAGCCAATAAAAGGCCTGGTTGTATCCATGCTCTGATTGGCTAAGAATGGACACAACCAGCAACTACAATTCCCAGAACCCTCTCTTGGGGTTTGTCTAACTTTTAAAAATGTTATTGTTAAAACTTTAAAAAAATTCTTAAAAATCAGTAGGCTAGCAGTTGTAAACATGGTCTAAAACTGGGGAAGATTTCATGCAGATAGGCTTTAAAATGACTGAGTTTCCCATTGTAGTTAATGGGCCAAATCTTTGCCGAATGAAAATGGCAACACTCCTCCCCATTCGAGTAACTTCCCAGTAAACAGAATGAGGTGTTAGTAAAAAAATGGATCCCCAAACAGCTTGCCTTTTGGCTGAATTGCACAAGCCTACTTCACACTTTGAAACAAATAGATATAGCACAGCTCGCTGTTTCTCCACGTCATGGATTTAAGCCATTTATGGTTGATAACACTCTTTATACTGCTTGATTTTGATAACAGTATCAACATGTAATCTGAGCACTCACATGAAACTGCAGGTCACTGGTCAAGCACTTTCCAATTAGATGCCGTCCATCTTGGGGGCAAGGATGTGCAAAGTAGGCAGAAGTGACTGAAACTTTCACAAAGTAGAGAAGAGAGCAGCAGAGAGGTTTCAGAAGGTCAGATCTGAGATATTTGGTTTTATCAACACTGTCATGGGAAAGGCATGATATCATGGCAGAAGGGTGAGTATGGTGTGGTGAACCCTTACCTCTAACAGTTAGGATATGGGCCTAGTGAAGCCCCGGTGGCCATTTTAGATTAGGGAAACAGGGAGACGTCATCTTAGGTTAGGTTTTCTTAGAGAGGGTGTGTCCTTGTTAAGGAAGAAAGGGGTAGATGGCCAGGATTGGTTAGAATAGGGGGCAGAGCCTTATATTCAGATAAAGAAAAAAGGTACCTTTTTGAATTCTGAGGCTTGAGTTTGGCAGTTGGGTTTTGTCAGTTGGAGTTTGGGGATAGCAGTTATGAATTGAAAAGGGAAAAAGAAGGAAGTTTAGCTTGTGATAAATTCTTAACAGTTGCTTCAAGGAAGAACTATTGGTGCAAACAGACCCTGGAGAATTGGGCTGTTTGTATTGGAGAATCTGCTTAGTGGAATACTAAGAGTTTCTCAGTTTAAAGGTTTTGACTAGAATCTGTAATTCAAGCACTGAACTACTTCTGAAACTATCACGCATTTGTACCAAAGGAACTTAAACCTGTTAAATAAACGTTTTGTTATAGTTAACACTTTACCACAGCCTGTGTGTGAATGTCATTGATATTCAAACCCTCTGAGGAAAATAAACCCCATAGTAACACAGAAGAGTGTTACTAAGTATCCTCTCAGCCTGAATATTAGAAAAGGTGGCAGCATACCCCAATTGAAGAAACAGTTACAAAACACCTCAGTTCAGATGTCATTCAGATATATTTATATACAGTTATATCCTCCCCTGATTTATCAGTCTCCCTCCTGTGAGTTCCTTATAAGTGTTATAGCTTGTGGGATTCGCTAATTTTAAATTTCCCTTTTCCTTCTCCCTGAAAAAGTAGTTCCTTTATATATGGTCTTTTGGGGACCACTACTTGTCCTAACACCGTCACTTCCACCAAATGTGGAAATCTTCATATGACTCATTGTCACCAAATTTGTGGGACTTCTTGTCCCACTGTTATAGCATCACTTGTAGAGACCACCCAGACATCCCAATGGTTCCTGAGTTAGACTTGAGTCCTATAATGCCACCACAGAGACCATGTGTAGTAGACTACTAGTCCAATAGCACTATGGTAGTGTTTCCAGAGGTACATTTGTATAGCAAAAATGTAGTTCCTCCTTTCCTGAAGGACTTGGTACAACTGTAGGTTGAAAATGTGACTCCAGCTGAGAAACATTAAGATGGTAGTCATTTCCCCCCATGATTGTTTGATAAAAAACTTTGGAAGTATCGGCAAGTTTCTATTACATGGCTTTTACCCCAAGCAAAGTCAGCAGAGAGAATGACCATCAATTTGGGAAATTTTATCCCCCACATTGAATATACTTCTTGAAAATCAATTCAAAGAACAAGTGCATTCAATGCCATGGACCTAAAAGCTGAAATGGATCTTTTTCTTACCCTTTAGACGGTATTATTTAGGACCATGATTGAACTCCTCTAAGAATTCTGTGTAAGTAAAGATGAATCCACTCTTTGTTGGCAACCACTATTTACAAAACATATAACCTAGGACATAAAGATCTATTTACTTGCAGGGTTCTTGTAGTGACAGCTGACTTTACTCTTGTTCAAAAAATACTTTACCAATTAAACAATGTACATTTTCTGGCACTGGGATTTTGACCTAAAATGAAACATTCACAACAGACTGTATCAAATAAGAATTTATTTACACTCTATTTATCAAATGTATTGTCAGCTGTGAGTTTGAAAAGTACTGCTTTCTTGATTTTTTATCTTTAATCCAGATGAGTTAATTGCTGTTTTGTTAACCCCTTCTTACAGACAGTATACTTAAGGCATAAATCCTACACTTTTCCATCTTTATTGGTTAAAAATTATACTTTCTGTTCGTTCAGTTTGAATAAAGTTATGAAAGAACTCAAGATAGCATCAGGAACCTAAACAAGAATCTATGAAATTGTTTATTGGTTTGATTGTAGATGTGAAAGCTCTAATAAATGTAATTTCATGAAGAAAATACATATAGTATTTTGTTCTTTGGTTAAGTCCCATTTCTGCACCATGTAACCGAGAAAAGAAATAAGAAACCTGGACAGGAAAATTCAAAATGGCTCTTTATGCCAAGTCTCCTTTTACACAGTTTCCAGTGTTACAAATCCTTACATTTATGCCAGAGATACAAACAGGCAGAAGTTATTTAAAAAAATATTTTCTATGAAGTCAAAACCTATCTAACAATATAGCGTGGCATCCCAACTTTCAGAGTCTGGTCATTATTATTTAAACTCCATTCACGTTGAGCATCAACTTATCATGTCCGAACTGCTTGATTCTGTCACTCCCTCACAGCGCAGAATTTCAGCCATGTCTCTGCGGAAGACGGACATGTTCTGGGTGAATCTGGAACCAAGAAGACCCCAAGGCAAGTTAAAAGTACTTATCATTTAAGCTTTTAGAAAAATCAACTGCAAATATAATAATAGCCTGACAACTTATACAACACTGAAGGAAAGCAAACGCCTACACTTTGAAATCAACCCTCTTTTTACTAATTCTAGAATTCTCTAACTCAAAGAGCTTTTGACAAATTTGGCTACACAGTCGTCATACCTAGATTATGTGCGTTTAAGAAAAATAACTATCAGATAATTTTTATTTAATGTATTGCTTTTTTATACCACCACACAGCCAAAGCTTTCTCGGTGCTTTACAAAAAGATGACCAAACTGAATAAGGCACAATCTAATTATACACACAAAACTTTTTTCCCTTTCTCTCTGTCAAGACTTTCATCCAAGGAACCATCCTTGCTTTTGTGCCACAATAAAAATATTTTGCATCTTCACAGTATTGGGTATCTTGTGTACATCAAGAAGTAAAATGTCAATGTTACAATTCCAGGTGATTATGTAATGAAATGGAAGAGAAAAAACAGTATTTAAAACACAAACATTAAGAAGTACATTTTATTGAGAAATTCCAACCTAGACAACATTTTTGACCCTGGGTTCCTTTTGGAAACTACATGACTCCATAAATTAACATGTGACCCTGTTGATTTTGGATTATGCTGGGCCCATAACCTATTGGGAAAACCAGGCATTTATTTATTTATTATATTTGTATACCGCCCTTCTCAGCCCATAGGCGACCGGTAGAAATCTCCAAAGTAATTAGGAAGCATGATCCTTTTGGAGATTAATTGGCATTCACACTATTTGGAATAATCATAACCTTTTGGAAAGGCATGATCTTGTTAAAGATCGCAACCTTTTGTAAAGTATGATCTGCCTGAGAAGAGTTAAAAACTCAATCTTTTTCTTAGTGGTAAATATCCACTAGTATTCTTGCAAGGCAATTTAGGCTTCTCAGCTGTTAGACTGATATACATGGTTATTTCTCTGAACTGTTAGGAACAAAGATATGCCAATGCACAAAATATATAGCAGATCTTCAAAAGTGTAATTTCGATTGCCCAAAAATACTTCTACTCTCCCATAAAATATACTGCTTTCAAATCATGCTCCCAAGACACCAAAAAATAAGTAGTCTTGGTTAAAAGTTTAACATAGTTGACTTACTTACAAACTTCATGTATTTAGCATACAGGTACATTGCTTATATACCAACTGTACTACAACTGACTGTATTATACTGTAACATACATCTGCTGCAAACAGATTCATAAATTAAATGGACATCTCACTGCAGCATACTGACTATACTCCTGCTCTAACTGACATCAACCAGTTCACCTGACTTCTAACTCAAACTGACTCAAACCTCAAATGACTTCTACCTGACTTAACTGACACCAACTGATTTCTGATTCAAATGGATTCTAAAATGGAGTCTCGCTCTGAACATTCTAAGATCAGGGTCCCTTGGTCTGTAGTCCCTCCCAAAACCTCTAACAACATAGAGTTAAGGTAAAAACTGCATACCAATACATACACACTCAATTATATGCAAAACAAACAACTAGTATAGGAGGCTTGTAGAAGGTTGCTATTTCCAACAGGTGAAAGAGAAAATTTTGATGGGTTATTAACAAATTCAATCAAGAGAAACCAAATGTTGAAAAACATTTATACTATTTGTTTATCTCAGGGGTCCTCAAAGTTTTTCAACAGAGGGCCAGGTCGCAGTCCCTCAAACTATTGGAGGGCCGGATTATAATTTGAAAAAAACATGAATGAATTCCTATGCACACTGCACCTATCTTATTTGTAATGCAAAAAACACTTTAAACAATACTATAATTAAAATGAAGAACAATTTTAACAAATATAAATTTATAAGTATTTCAATGGGAAGTGTGGGCCTGCTTTTGGCTGATGAGATTGGATTGATGTTGTTTTGTGCTTTCAAGCCATTTCAGAATTAGGTTGACCCTTAGCGAGGGCCGGGTAAATGACCTTGGAGGGCCATATCTGGCCCCCGGGCCTTAGTTTGATGACCCCTGGTTTATCTTCTAAATCATGAACAGAGGATGTTGGGTTCTCCATTAAAGCAGATTCTAATCATCCATGCATCTACTGGGTTTTAGTATGTTGCGGCAGATAGAGCTTTTAATGTGTGTGTATGCACATGTGTGCAGTGTTTTTATGTAATTATACTTGAAAGCTCTTTTAAATGCTGTTTTTAACTTGTGTTTTTTTTTTTAAAAAAGAGTTGACTGTCATTGTTATAACTTTTGTACATAGGGTTTTTCAATTGTATTGTGTTTCTAAAATATTGTTCACTGCCTTGAACAATATTGGGATGTGATACGAAAGAAACAAATACAATAAACAAAACATAGCTATTCAGGAAATAGTAGGATTACCTATCTCTGTTCTTTACTAGAAGATTCTGCTCCACTCCTTCCATTAGGTTTCTGAAGTACTGATGAAGAACTTCTTGTTTATCAGGAGGCTGACTGTTTATCAAACCTGCCCTTAATTCACTAAAATACTGAAAAGACAAAAGACAAATCATTAGGAGAAAAAGGAAAGAAATAATTAGTCAGATTTCCAAATCTATGTTTGAATGAGTTCAGCTTTGGAAGCATGGGGGGCACAATTCTATCTGTAATAACAACTGTTGCCCTTTCCAGACCATAAATTCAGATGGCTAGCTGTTCTGGTAAGGTTAAGGAATGCATTTGAGACTTTTTCACTTTAAATTTCAAGTTCATCTACATCCTAATTAATTTTAATAATTCTTATAAAATATCAAAGAGAAAAAATAGTTCTCGCGTATTTATGTTTTATCTGTATGAGGCACTTAATTAGAGACAATAGTCCACAACTAACTAGATAGAAACCGGTTCAAGTAATAAAAGTCCTATCTCCTTTGAGGGACTGTTGAATCTACCACATTATAACTTACATGGCTTGAGGCTCAAAATAAATTAGCACAACTTCACGAGGCCTAGCAGATACTCATGTGTACAATGAAGGCAACTCAACCAATCCACACAAAAGCATGGTAATTCAATATATCTAGCTATATAAAGGAGCCCCCGGTGGCGCAGTGTGTTAAACCACTGAGCTGCTGAACTTGTTGATTGAAAAGTCAAAGGTTTGAATCCAGGGAGTAGCGTGAGCTTCCGGTGTTAGCCCCAGCTTCTGCCAACCTAGCAGTTCGAAAACATGCAAATGTGAGTAGATCAATAGGTAATGGTGCTCCATGCAGTCATGCCAGACAATGCCGGCTCTTCGGTTTACAAATAGAGATGAGCACCAACCCCCAGAGTTGGACATGAAAGGGAAAAACCTTTACCTTTACCTTATCTATATAAAAGTATGTCTGTCTGTTTACATCACAAAGGCTGTGGCTAGGTGACAATCCAGTGGCTCTTTGTGATGTGACTGGATTGGCTGCTGCTAGGTGAAGTGGCCCTCTGTGATGTCACTGGGAAAGAAAGGTGTCATATATATGAGGGGATACGAGGAAGGAAGGAAAGAGCCGCAAAGAGAGCCATGTTGCCATGGAGACATTGTGAAGTAGGCCCTCTCAGAGCTGGAGAAGGGAGAAAGAGGAGGAGAAGGAAAGAAAGAGAAAAAGAAAAATAGGGAAAGACTTCCTAAAGGCTTTAGTACGCCACTGTATTAGAATCAAACCCTAGTGGACACCAAGATCCCACTGTATTCATAAAAAGAAAAAAAAACATTTCACTATTGGGATTTGAGAAATCAGATTAGGAACAAGGTGTCTTGGGTTTAAATCTCCAATCAGCTGTTCAACTCTCTGGAGAACCCTAGCTCCATCCCTCCTTCTTAGCCTAATTTATACAATAGGGCTGTTGTAATAAGCAAACGAGGGAGTGGACCATGTACTATCTGAAGGAAAGGGTACAAATATAGCAATAAGTAATGGCAAATTGGTATTTCCTAGATTAATTGACAGAACAATGAGGAAATGGTATGTTTACCCTTCCTTTCAGGCATGTGTAGACAGAAATGCACCCCAGTGACTCATCTCCAAGTTGCATTCAAAGTAATGCCGGGGCCATGAACCTAAAGCAAACCACCTATCAGCACTTTATTGCTAGCTTTTCGGAAATTGGAGCCATGAATGCTATTGGTACGTGGGAAACATAGAATATTTGTTGTTGGTTTGATTTATCTGTATTCATATTTCCTCTCCCCCCAAAAAAGCAGATGAAGAAGCGAAAACCAGGCTTAACTGACTGCCTCTCTAATGCAGATAAGTCCAAAGTGACTAGGTCTAGAGAGGACCTGCTCATAAATAATGGTGCACATATACATTCTGCAGCTAACCAGGCTCCACGATCATTAGAATGCAATATCGCTCCAGAAGGAAGTAAGTGGAGCTGGGCGTATATATCTTACTATTCATGATTGCATAGCTGTATCTTCTTGTGAAATATTTAATTCCTTCTTACACTAAAGCTGCTAAAATCAAAACCACATAATTAATATAAAGCCAGGATAATATTTAATACTATAAATCAGAGGCATTGGCTAAACAAAAGTGTTGCCGAGAACAAGATTGGGAATGCATACGACTACTTATTTCTGCCTTTTATAATGATGCAGTGACTCAGGGCAGATAGAAAATGATTAGTTTTCCTCCCAAAGTAGGAAATATTGCTTCCATCTGTAAAGGATAATATTGTGATGTCATAAACTTTTTCTAAACACTGAATTTGCCCTTATTCCCTCTCAATCATTTTAAAAGAACTTCTCCTCGTATGGAGCTTGGATTTAAATCACAATAATACACCAAGAAGATGAATGACAGTGCTATTGGATATGGTTAAAATTGGATCCTTCAGCACAGGTGAATGATGAGACGGCGCTTCTATACTTGATATATTTTCTTCTTCTATTAGTTTCCTACCAGGGCTGGGATTTCAGTTTGAATTTTAATGTATGCGGCTGCTGCTAATCTTAGTGTCTGATTTTTTCCCAGCACCCTCTTATTGTATAGACAATTCATTCTGCAAAGCAGTAATGCACTGCCACTTGTGACTGCCCAGGAGATAAACGGATTTGGAATAAAGTCAGAACTCACACTGAAGGATGGAGAGCACTACAGGTCAATATCTTCAGGAGCAATCCCTTGGCATCTGCAGCAAGAGTTCAGACTGGCTCCCACCACTGTATTGAAACTGGGTTCTTTGGGGGTTTGAATCCATAGACCCCTATTTTCATGTGCAACCATTACAAAGGGGACTCACCTGAAAAAGGCCTCCAAAGTTGGAAGGCTTCAGTGGGAGCCTTAAGACATAAAATGAGAGGTTCAGGGTGCTGCTACATATTTGGGACTGTGCCTGCCCAGGCTAACATTGTGAAATGCTTTGAAAAATTCTTTCTCATCTCCCCACATCAGAAATCAGAATTTTCAGCACGCAAGCATGACCCTGTGTGCCTCTGTGAATAATTTTTGAATTGCAGGAAGGACTTTGCCACCAAGAGGGCCTTTTCTTGAATCCACTAAAAATGATTACATGTAGTCCCTTCTATGGGTGCTATATTTTGTGTATTTATAAAATATTGTCCTAAATAAGAACTGTTGATGTTGAGGATATGTTCAGTGTAGAATGTGGTTTAACTGCATTGAACTCCATTATATGAGTCCACAATGGCCATATAATGCAGCTTCAAACTGCATTATATGGCAATTTCGATGGGCCCAGTGCTAAAGCAGAAATATGCTTTGAGTATGGAAAGGAACAAGCTCAACTTTTTATGTAAAGAAGGAAGCCCTTACTATTGTGGAGTCTCTCTCAGGCATGATCCATGTGACTTATTAATTGATATACAAGACACAGTTTATCTACTAAATTCAAGTACAGTCAGTCCCCAAGTTACAAACATCCAACATAATTGACTCATAATTACAAATGGGGGTGAGACGAAAGAACTGGGAGAAATTTGCTCCTGAAAGAGTTGTTACGAGGAAAAGGTGTTTCCACTGAAGCTTTATCAGCAATCCTGTTTCCACAACAAGCCATTTTTTTCAAAAATCCAATTTTTTTTTCAAAAATCCAAATTTCACAGGTACAGAAAGTAATGTGAAATCTTCTGTACACAGACAGCAAAACAAACACCATAAGGGTTTTAACCCTTTCCTATGCTATCCAAAGCTTCTATCCATCTATCTATCTATCTATCTATCTATCTATCTATCTATCTATCTATCTTTGGCTAGAGTTACACTTATATTTATTTATTTACTTCATGTATACCTCACCTTTCTCACCCACATAGGAGGACTCAAGGCGGCTTACAACTCCAGCAAGATTCAATGCCGCATGAACATAATTATAAAACATATAAAAGTGCATGATTCCATTTATCCATAATTCTTGCTCTTAATCCTTATCATAAAAATGTACCTGCTTCGACTTACAAACAAATTCAACTTAAGAACAAACCCACAGAACCTATCATGCATGTAACTTGGAGACTCCCTGTACTGCAATTCACAAACAGACTTGAATTGTTTTTTCACTTGACTGCAAGTTCTCATTCTGGAGCACTTACTTTCTCGTTGAGGAGTATGAGTCCCAAGAGGGGTCTTGACACAGACCATTGGTTTCTGCAATCCTCAAAAATGATGGTGTTCAAAAGAATTGACATCATCTGAAAGAAAGACAATGTTTTTAAGAAAAATACAAATATACACTGCCAGATGGTATATATTTCTGCTCCATATTCAACTGTGATTTTTTGGGGTTCATTTGGCACCAGACATATAAGAACAATGCAAAGCGGTCAAGCATACCTTTACTGAAAAGGAAAAAGCCAGAAACCTACTTCTAAGAGCACAATTCTGTCACTTGTTGATACCAATTTCTTCTGACATTTCAGATAATGAAAACATCGCAAAATTTTGTATTCCTGTACTGGTAATTTGTGTGGAATTTTATGTGAGCGAAAAAAGCAATGAAGAATGGATGTTCACAGCCATGGTATTCCATGTATAAAACCTAAATAAATATAGAAAAATATACTGATATTTGTAAAATTTGGGCTAGAAGGTGGAATACAATGAGGGAATTTCAGAAATGAAAATAAAGTATCCATCTCAATCTCAAACGCAAAGAAAATGAGGAAAATCCCTCAATAATTTCTTCAATGCCAGTAAGTTGCAGGCAGTTGCGTCTCCAGAGAACCGACAAGCATTGCAAGCCAGACTGTAATAATAGCTGCCCAATAAGTCAAACAACATGTTTCACTAAATGAAAAAAAAGATCATTTCAGCTCTCCAAATCACTCAGAACAAGGAATGATCAAAGATTACTTGATGCTTCAACACAAACAGCATATTGTATAGTACAAGCAACTGATCCCTTCATTTTTCTTCGTGGTCTCTGCGAATGCACACTTGTGGAGAGACTGCGCCTGCGCGGGCTCCAACGGAAACTTCTACATTTTAAAACTTTTCAAGTTTTGGCGGTAACCCCGCCCAGCCCCGGCAGGGGATAAAAGGGCGCCCCGCGCACACCGATCCAATTCCTTTTTTTCCGCCGCACGGCTCGCTTCGGTACTTCTAGTTAGATAGTTGGATAGTGATAGTTAGATAGTGATTCTACTGATTCTCTTAGAATTCTTTCCTCGAGTTGTTGACTAGATTATGTCAACAACTCGCTTCAAAAGATGCGCGAACTGTCCGAAGAAGATCCCTGACTCAGACAAGCACGCTCTTTGCCTCTTGTGTCTCGGGGAGGCACACATTACCTCTTCGTGTTGTCATTGTCAATCTTTGACGGCACAGTCCCGTAAGAACCGGGTCCATCGACTTCGGTACCTTCTGTACCAGCAGACGTTGGCTCCGGTACCTTCAACATCGACATCGGCGTCGACGTCAGCCGCAGTATCCAGGCCTTCGACATCGGCTTCGACCTCGAAGGCATCGACAACAACACCTGTCGATCCCTCGGTGGAGGCCGGGCCTCGCCAAACAAGGGCGAAGAAGGCCGCGCAGAAAAGGCCGAGAGCAGCTATGTCGACGACTTCGAAGGCCTCAGTGTCGGCAGCCTCTAAGGCTACAAAGCCTACAAAACAGAAGGCTCCATGCACGGTCACTACCGAGACCGTACGCATCCGACACTCGTCGACCAGCTCCGTGGCGTCGGTGAGATCGATCAGGTCCACGAGGTCGACGTCGGCGACTCCGCCATCTTCCACGGCGGTTCGCATTGCCTTTCGCCGCTCTCAAGAAGAGTCTCGGCGTGCTTCCACCTCATCCTCCGTCCCGCCCACCCCGGGCAAGTCACTGTCAAAGTCTGCTCAACCACCGGCAAAGAAGAAGAAGGTGATGCCGCCTCCGTCCTCCTCTTCTTCTTCTTCTCGGAAGCAAACCACCGCCTCTTCGGCCACCTCGTCGGCGAGGTCATCGCCGTTGCAGCCTGCTGAGCCCCAGCTGGCCCCGCAGCCGATTCAGGAGCCGCAACCCTTGCCGGAGCAGCCTTTGGAGCAGCCCGTGTCCCCGGTGATCTCGGTGGACACGGTGATCGAGGCACCAACTCGCCATGTGACAGCCAGACAGGAGCTTTTCCCGTCGGTCACGACTTTGACTACTGTGACAGCCAGACAGGAGACTTCTCCAGTGCTGGAGACTCCGGAAAGGGGCAGACAGACTATGAGACTGGCCCGTGCCATTCAGGCTTCGGCCTCAAAAGCCCCCCCAGTGGCTCCACCGCAGCGCCCGAGTCGGGATGTCTCCTCATCCCCTCCTCCCCAATCCGTGGCTGCCGATGACGAAGAGGAAGATGGCGAGTTACCGGGATCGGTACACTCGGGATCGGTGTTGTCTCTCGGGATCGAGAAATCACCTACCCACGACGCCTATGAGGCTGATCCGCCATCCCCTACTGACAATGTCCGAGCCTTTGCGGATCAAATGGCTCGCATGGCTGAGGCTCTGGGTCTGGAGGTCAAACAGACTTCCAAAGCAGTGCTGGACCCTGTGTTCAAAAGGGTGCAGAGGGAGTCTCCACCCGCTCCTCTCCTACCCTTCCTTCCTCACCTCCTCGAGGTGATCCAGAGCTCTTGGAAGACCCCCTCCTCCATCCCTCCAACCTCCAAGAAGATTGAGTCTTGGTACAGAACGGACGATGAGGGCTTGGAGTGGCTGAAACACCATCCCGACCCTAACTCGGTGGTCGTGAAAGCAGCTCAGGGGTTCGGAAGGCAGTCATCGGCGCCCTCCGACCGTGAGGGGAAGAGGTTCGATGCAGTGGGCAGGAAGCTTTACTCCGGTGCCCTCTTGCTGGCCCGCATGGCAAACTATGGGGCGTGTATGGGGGCTTACCAACAAATTCTCTGGGAGAAAGCTGAACCCTTTTTCCAGAGAATGTCTGCCGAGGACCGTGCTGCCATGACCACCCTGGCCCAGGAGGCGAACTCTCTGGCGCATCACCAGATGCAGATGGCCAAGCACACGGGAGACACTGCGGGCAAGATGATTGCTCACGCTGTAGCAATCAGGAGGCATGCCTGGCTGAGATCATCTGGCCTCTCTACCTCATTGAGGCAGGTGATCGAAGACCTCCCGTTCGATGCCCTGGGGCTCTTCAACGCCGGGACGGACGACAAGCTGAAGTCAAATCACGACTTCAAGACTCTGGCCTCCAAGTGCGGGTTTGAAAATCAAAACCAAGCACAAAGAACCAGATGGTTCCAATACAAACGCCGGCACACGGTCCCGTACCGTACCATTCAGTACCGTCATCCAGCCCGTCCCCTGCAGACCTCCCAACAAACCCACCCTCAACAACCCCAACAGCAACGGAGGCAGCACCAGCAGCAGCGTTCACGTTCTCGCCAGGCTTCAGGAGGCAACCAGGCCAGGCGCCGCATTTGACGCCCTTGTGGACGATACCGTTTGCAGTTTCGTTACCGTTGTTCCCATGTCCCTCCCAATGGTACCCACCCTCATCCTTCCATCCGGCTCGACACCGTTCGGAGATCGCCTGACAAACTTTCTCCCTGCATGGGAAAATATCACCTCAGATGCATGGGTTTTAAAGATTGTCGACGAAGGCTATGCATTGGAGTTCGAAGAGCTCCCACCAACAGGACTGATTGTCGAGACCGAGCCTTCCTCGGCCATCCTGACAGAGGTCGATACCTTACTCCTGAAAGGGGCAATTTCCCCTCTCCCGGACTCTCAAAACCATCGAGCCTTCTTCTCCAGATACTTTACTGTCCCAAAGCCGGATGGCTCCCTTCGCCCCATCCTCGACCTCAGAGACTTAAACTCCTTCATCGAACCTCAAAGGTTTCGGATGGTGACGGTATCGTCCATTCTCCCTCTCCTCAGATACGGAGACTTCTTCGCGTCCGTCGATCTCCGGGACGCTTACTTCCATCTCTCAGTAAGAAAACATCACAGGCGCTTCCTGGCCTTCAGGGTAGCGGGACAGACGTACGTGTTCAACGTCCTCCCTTTCGGTCTCGTGACGGCACCGAGAACTTTCACCAAATGCATGTCGGTGGTCGCAGCGGCCCTCAGAAGGGAAAAAATCCGCATTTTTCCTTACTTAGACGACTGGTTGTTGGCAGCACGCTCCCCGGACCTCCTGCGAGCGCAGGTGGCAAGGACACTCTCCCTCCTCGAGGACCTGGGCCTGCAGCTGAACGAGGAGAAATCCCAGCTCGAGCCCACCACTTGCATAAAGTTCATCGGCGCCATGTTCGATTCTCTCTCCCAGACAGTCTTCCTCCCGGAGGAGAGATTCAGGGCTCTTCGAGCCGAAACACTCAAGGTGCGTCGCCCCCGAGTGGTCCCGGCGAAGCAGATACAGGTCCTCCTCGGACACATGGCCTCCACGGTGATGGTGACGCCATTGGCAAGACTCCGCTTCCGCCCCCTCCAGAGATGGTTCTTGGACCACTTCAYCCCCATGCGYGACAGTGCRYCAAAGRGCCTSCTGGTARRGAGGTCGGTAAAGGACTCGRTYAARTGGTGGATGAACCGRCAGCATGTCTGCAAGGGCATTCCTTTTCACCCAGAGCCCCCAGCCGTCACYATCACGACGGACGCCTCGATGTTCGCATYGGGATGCCATACAGGAGAACTTTCAGTACACGACCTCTGGTCTCCTCAGGAAAGGCAGTCCCATATCAACTACTTGGAACTGCTGGCAATCTTCAAAGCCCTGAGGGCGTTCGCCCTCCTGGTCACGGGGAAGTCTGTCCAAATCCTCACGGACAACATGGTGGCAATGTTCTACGTGAACAAGCAAGGAGGAACGGGCTCGAGAAAACTTCTCAAGCTGTCGCTGGAACTTTGGGACTGGTGCGTAGCCAGGTCGGTGTCGATAACAGCCTTACACCTCCCGGGCGAAGCCAACGTCGAGGCGGACGTACTCAGCAGGACCAGGGCAACATCCCACGAGGCTGAACCCCGACGTACTGGCGGAGATCTTCAGGGAATGGGGCCTCCCAGCCGAAGATATCTTCGCGTCGCCGGAAAACGCTCAGCTTCCTCAGTTCGGTGCTCGACTTGCTCCGAACACGGTACCGGGGTGTCTCGGAGACGCATTCCTGTTGGACTGGTCGAAGCATCTGCTCTACCTCTTCCCTCCCTTCCCGCTCATCCRYAGAGTGATCGAGAGGATCCAGTCYGCGCAYAC